CTCGTCTCTCTCTCTCGTCTCTCTCTCTCTCTCTCGTCTCTCTCTCTTCTGTCTCTCTCTCTCTCTCACCTCCGTCTCTCACCTCCATCTCTTTCTCCCACCTCCCTCTCGCTCTCTCTCTCTCTCTGTCTCTTCTCTGTCTCTCTCTCTCTCTCTCTCTCTCTCTCTCTCTCTCCCTCTCCCCCCTTGACCAGTAATACTTTTTGTTTGATCTTTTTAGCATGATGAAGGAAATATTGGTGTGCCTTTTTTCTGTATATTATTAGCATAAAGATAATCTGTTATCTTCTTTCAGAAACAGTATGCAGTGTCCTCCTTCTAAAGGTCTTGTCAACAGCTTTGGTCTTCCTGGCTCCCGACTGAAACCACCACCATCCTGTATTGACTTTAATAGAAAAGTTGTGAAGTTGAGTTCTGCCAAGAAAAATAGCACTGTCCCAATGGACACTTCACCTACCGGGAGCAGTGGTAACGGACAACTGGCCACGGCCGATTCATCAAATACTCCCTCCCCTAACAGCACCCTGGCACCGTCATCGAAATTGTCAATAGGGACAGTTTCACATTCAGAGTCTAGTTTGGGAAAAAGGACAGCGGTAGAAGCAAATGAAAGTGACTTGTCCGAAGTGAGTAATTAAATTGTTTACTTTTTATTTTTTTCAGCTCCTTCATTCTCTGTAATCTTAGTGAGACGTAAAATCTGAGGCTCTTGTGAGCACATAGAACAAATTTTGTTAACCAAGGTTTTTTTTAATAGAGAGATCAGTCAGCTTTACCACAGCCTATAGAGTCACTTCCTCACTTGCGGCCACGAGAGAAGTTTCCTCTATTTGCACAACACTATCACATTGCCCAAGGTTGTTTTGGCCGCAGCTTGGACATATATGAACGTACTAAAAGTCGAAAGTGGCGCGAAAACCTTTGCTGTCGTTTTATGGCAAAAATGACTAACATACAATCAGTGAAAAATTGGCTATGGTGCGGCCACCCAGCCAAAATGCGGCCGCCAGTAAGCCATAGGTGCGGCCACATATAATAAATGTACAAACACACAAGACAAACCCAACTCTCAGCGTCTGATCAACCCACTAGGGGATGCGGTCTTAACACCTATTCATAGATCGCATCAATTTGTTGTAAAAGATGAGGCGTGTTTTTCATTGTTCTGTCACCAAAGACACAGCCTTTGCTTTCACTACTGACTACCACGGCACGTTTGACGGACCCCGGTGCCCTGCGGCACAAGCTCACGGGCGATGTGAGTGGGTCATTGATGGATAAAAACGCTCTTCCGGCTAACTCCGCAGGACCAAAGTTGTTTCCATACATCTAGGCAGATCTACCATTTCATTCTCAACATTGTCCTCCTCTACCCGCTCTCCGTCTTCCAGTGCTCTCAACTCCTTCTCACACTCAAACGTATCCTCCAACAAGTCATCTATCATACCCACATCAATGTCTTCATCTGACCCATCATCCAGTAGTATTTCACTTTGATCTACTGAACTGTCGCTTGAAATATTTGAGTCTCTTCTTGCTTTCCTTTTCTTTCTTTTCCCTTTTAAAGCTTTTCTCATCTCCATCTCAATCCTCTTTTCTTCTTTTGTTCTAAGTCTGTCTTCCTTCCGTTTTGTTCAGCTCCTCTTCTTTCTGTTTTTTTAACTTCTCTCTCTTTCTCTCGGTTCTTTCATTCGTTTCTTTTCTTCTTGATCTTCTTTATCTCCGTTTCCGCATTCCTTTTAATTTTTTTTTCTTCTTCCTCTTTTTGCGATGATTCTTTTTCAATAAAAATGTCTAGATAAGAGAGGGCTGTTGCTGAGTCTTCTGTCTCTTCAAAGAAAGTTCTTTTGGAACAGAGTGGATAGTGGGTCCTTTTGTATTGGACATGGACGTGTTGATTGGATTGAAACCTGGGTGTCATTCAAAGTCCTCGTGGTAGTTTTTCCAGAGTTCACATAGTCTAAACCTATGATGTTAAACTATTTTAGTAATAAGAGAGCCCCCAAATGATAAATCTTTTCTTTTCTATTTCAGGAGGCAAGCCCAGGTGCTAAGAAAAAGAAATTCAGCAAGATATCTTGGCCTTGATGTTGTCTGGAAGTTTTTCAACATTTTCGTCCATCTACGCATTCTTGGGGAAAATTTTGCAAAGAAACCATTCCTGGGATACGATGTAGTTTCTGTTACAGAGATGACCAGAATGTTCTTTCTTAACATTTGTGACATGTGTCACGTTGACTATTAATTGACAGTCTGGTTTAGTTCCCCAGGAATGAGTTTGCATGTTTGGATTGATGTCAACCACACATAACGTGCTTGACCCAACCTGTCCCTGGTGTACCATAGTCACGGTAATAGATTTAGATTTATGCAGCAGGGTGTGACTACCTTAGTGTTTTGCTGGGACTTAAGCGCTATATCTTGTTAATAATAGAAACAAGGCTATTGACTATCATAACCGTAACACGTAATTACACAGTATTTCAGAAAGTCATCTATTACTATGACAAATTACTTGTGCAAACATGTGACATTGTGTTTGGAATATGTTATCACCCGAAAATGGTACGTGTGTATTTCTTGAGTCCTTGGTAACCTGTACTATATTGTTTTTAAAGCTGCAATTGTATTTTTATTTTACCTTGATTTTTAAAAATGTTTTAGCCTCTCCAAGGTGCACAATGGTCATGTTTTTTTAACAGAAAAATCTTTACAGGGAATCGGGCTTACTCTGCTCACCTCTCTAACTTTAACAGCACAAAGTCTGTTTTGACTTTCAAGGCACCCTGGAAATAACGGGCCACAAGAGTGTGGCAAACATACAAAAGAAGTAGAGGAAAATGACGATAGTAAGGATTAGGAAAGAAAAGGCAGCAGGTCCCTGTTATAGTTCAAGCACAGTTATGAGCATGACATTGTTGAATCAGCCCATTTACTATTCTACTGTGCATAAGAGCGAGAAATGTCTCCCCTTTGGGAATGGCCTAAAGACACTTCAGTCAGTGGCACTGCTGGGGGGGGGGGGGGGGAGTGAACTTGTTTGAATTGTGGTAAGTTTGTAAGATAAGTTTTTTTTATTTAGCCGAGTCAACATTTTTTAACAAAGGATCAACAAAAGAATGGAAAGGAGAGAAGTAAAAAGTTTCTTTTGTACATGTAATTTGGAATATTATGTTATAGTTATATATGTAGTAATAGAATATACATGTCTGGAGTTTTCAGTATTTTGTGTACAAGTTTTGAAATATTCTGTTGCAATTGACAGTATTGTCATTTCCAATTCTTTGCTTCAAAGAGTCCCGGAAAAGAAAACAGCTTCAAGGATATGTTATTTGAAGAAAGAGCTCTGTTTGAGAAGGTGGAAAGTATGTTGATATATTTAGGCTATTTTTGTTGCAGATAAGATGTTACTAACTTACTAAGACTTAATTGTATGTGTGGCAGAGTATGGTTTTTATTTTGGTCTCATATTGTTTCTCTTCAAGCTTTGTTGTTCTTGTGCAATCCACATAAATTATGACCCACCACATTTGTTGATTAATCTGTTTTACAGGAAATGGTGAAATGGTTTATCAATATCTGTATCTGTCTGTCATCATTTATTAAACATCTTTCTTTTTTTTTTCCCCCTTGTTTGTTGCATAGGGATATCCCTGAACTATAAGGCGTATGTTTGGTTTGAACCCATTTTTAGCACAGCTCTGTATTGGAGAAGACAGAAGCACTTTCATTTTTCCATCCATCTGTGATGAGCTTGTATGAGAGCTGTGAAAGCTTCCTCAGATTCTTCATTGATTCAGAGGAGGATGTCCTAACCCCCAGTTTTGACTCTAGTGAAGAAACAAATGGAAAAAGTTATTATTACTTGTATCTAATTCTACAGTCTCTGGTCCTATTAATTATAGTACAGTGCACATTGGCTGTAACAACAGTCAGTTACTAACTTCACTTGTGCATGTAGCATGAGAAAGAGGTGATCACTTTCATGTTTCATAGGGCAAGATATCTGAACCGGTGTAACGAGCTTGTTTGTTAAGTAGAGCACTGTTGCCCTGGCTTGTTGACTATGGCTGTAATGTGTGTTTCTTATCTGTTAATGTTAGTAAAATGTTAGTATTGTTAGTGATGGCCCCTTGAGGGTCAGAATCAATTTTTTTTAAACCTGATATTAGTGATATGTGATCCCTGTTGTAATTTGAATATCGTCCTATAAGAGCCAGTTCCACGTATCGAGGTTTTAGCGAATTTTTTTAGGAGGAGCAAAAACACTGATTAGTGTAGGTTATGGATGATCAACTCACTGGAAACGATCAAGCCCTAGAAGTGTATCACGTGATACGCGATTTAGGAATTCTTGGCTTTACTGTCGGTTCCTAGTAATTCTTGTTGCCTCATCCAAGTTGTTACAATATTGATCCGTTCCGCTCATCTCAAAATGAGCTAATTTGGAAGCAAACAGCTATGAAAAGTGAAATGGATATTTGCTTTTTATAGCGATTTTAAGGTGGGGAACTCAATGAAAATTATACAGAAATAAAGCCCATGATAAGCGCTTTCGATTGGTGAAAAAAAAAATAACGTGCCAAATTCATGATACGTGGAACTGGACGATGTGTAATAATAATAATAATTGCATTTATATATATAGTGTCTGTGGCCTAGTGGTTCGGCTCTCAGACTCACAACTGTGAGGTAATGGGTTTGAATCCTGTCAGGGACCCGACGTTGTGTCCTTGGAAAAGGAGCTTTGCACAAATTTTCCTCACGTCACCCTGAATTATTTTTTATCCTCAACATGTAGACGCGGCTCTCATTCAGATGTACAAAGTTCGCCTCTCAGTCGAAAGGTCCCGAGATAAAAACCTATCAGCAACGGAAAAAATGTTCTTCTTTAAAATTTTCTCCCATGTCCTTTTTTTGCTGCTCTGTCATCTGCCCGGATTTCATCTTCACTTTCTCTTCCCCCATCACCCCACTGTGTCCTCTTTTCCTTGCTCCCAGCTCCTTCCTAATCCTACTGCTGTCTTTCAGACACACCCCTGATCTTAGGGTAGGTAAGACCGGAACACCCAGCATCAGAGAAGCACTTTTGTTGGTTGGTTAAATTGTGTGTGTGTTTGGTTTTTTCTTTCTTTTCTTTTTTTTTTTTTTTTTTTTGGTAGTTTCTTATTAAATCTTATCCTTCTCTGTGCTCACTCCAGGTCATCAGCAAAGTAGGCCTACTATACTTCATTAATTCATTCAGTCTGTTGCCGTTGCTCAACACAAGCAATTCCTGGCTTACAGTGCAGTAGTAAGTTATCGAGATGTCTGCCAAAGCAGCTAGTTGAATCTGCCACCAGCTTAGATCTTGTGCCCCTGAGCACAATGTGTAAGAGGCACCTAAGGCTGGTCAGGACACCTTTCTATGTTTTCTGTATGTTACAAAACTCAAAAGTCAATGCACGTTAAGCACGTCATAGAGTGGAAAAAAGTGTCAAAATCGATGTCTACAGCTGTGTTCTTGATGAGTATATGTCCATGTATGCCCTTTGTACTCGTTTAGAGCTTAGGTAGTCTTTGTTCACACATAAATTCTTTGCTGAAACGTTGCACCAAAATTATGGCGCTTTATTAAGGCCAGCTCTTGTGAGTGGGGCTAATAACTCACACTTGCAGCGTTTTGAGTGTTTCTTTGTTGCCAGGTTAGTTTCAAGAAGGAAAACCAACTATCACTCCATTTTCTTAATAACTTATTAAATAAGTTACTACGGTAACAACTGTCAAACTTGAAAAGCAATTATTTTTTTAACGCATTTTAAGGGGTTATAGTGTGTGTCCTTTTCACATCACTCATGTTTGTAAGTATGACATTTTTTGTACTTGTCTATATGATGCATACAATAGTCCATGGTTTTTTGTTTTTTAAAGTTTTTAATGTGATTTCACTTTTAAACGATTTGTCATACCGTACAGCAAATCTGATACAGAAGTGTGTTTTCAAGCACTGAATCTTTGGGGCCATTTTTTGGTTTTAACTTTTTTACTCTCAGAATTTTTTATTTTTTTTTAACATCTCATTGAAACGAGCCTTACTTTCACAGTACCGGTATCTGTAAATTGAAAAAAAATTGTTTTTATCATTATTAATGGCATGTGTCCAGACTAATAAAAATTGTCCAGACCTAGAGGTTCCCACCACAGCATAATTTGTTTTAAGTTAATGCGTGCATTTTTATTCACAGTAGTAAATTGGTCTCGTCTAGTTGAGCAGGAAGAACTTTTTCCTTGTCTGAGAGTGGACAAACTTTTGACTCTTCTTTGTCTTCCACTGACAGGTCTCCGGGTTCTTCAACCTGCAGTGCAAGTTATTTTACCAATGTGACCATTTTTCCTACTTTGTAGGGTCCCTTGCCATCAGGTAGCCACATTTCAAAGATTGAACAAAAGCAAGTAATCAAGACAAATTTTTTTGCTAAACTTATTCTTAATGGTATGCAAGTCAGGTGGTATTTTTTCTCTTTTCTTAGTCTAAGTGGCGGTTACTGTCCTAGATGTTTTTCAATAGTGCGCTTCTCACTTTCATTTCCCTCTAAGTTGGCAGTCTCACACAGCACAAGTCATCTCATCACAAGTAATTGACAGTACCGTGCACTAAGTTGATTTGTTACCAATACAATATACCTGTCCTCAGAGAAATTCGCGCGCGCAACCCACAAGTTGCGAACGCAACTTTTGGCCTCAGCGCAACTTAGCGCAACTTTTGCACAACTTTTGCAATTTTCGCGAATTCGCTAATTTTAGGCAATTGGCAAAAGTTGGACAAAAAATAATTCAATTTCAGTAAAAATAACCGAAATTTTTTTCCACAACTAAAAATAACGACACGAAGGGGACAATTCGTACCTGAAATTAGATCTACCATCTAACGTTTCCTTTTCCTTTTGCACTACATGGATGAAATCAGGTCGGGACACAGTCGCCCGACTCGTTGCCTGAAAACAACGCGTTTGTTTTTGAGGCAACGAGTCGGGCGCGATCGATTTGTGCCACGATCGCCACTTTGCGCCGTCAGTCTGTCGAGCAAACCGACCCGTCCCGACCTGACCTCCCCAATAGTCCCCTGTTTGGACTGAATCATCTTCTATTTCTTCTAGATCTAGCTAAATCTAGACACTAGATCTAGATATCTATAGAGTGAACTCAATCGTAAACACGATCGTCTCTTTACTTAGCTTGCTTGGTTCCGTAGCACCAGGTAGATAGATAGATCTAGTACATTGTATAAACATTTGTGAAAGACTTTAAATTTTAGGCTAGGAGGGTAGATCTAGACATGGATCGATTCAGAAAACCCCTAAAGGGGTCGTTCAAATATAATCTTACGCCTGGAAAAGGCCTAAAGGGGGG